TGAAGTTTGGGGTCAAAAGGAGAAGTTTCATAATGACCGGACTCTGCCTTGGGCAGTGACCGGACTCTAACCCCACGTCCAGTCAGTGGCGCACAGTGAAAGTTGCCCTCGATCCCATGACCAAACACTGAAGAGAGAGAGGGACCAGACACGCGGGGTGCGTCCGATCACCTAGTGACATACGCTGATGCAAACAACAGAGAGAGGTTGTGTTGACCGGACGCTGGCCTGGGTTCGGTCAAGAGTCATCGGATGCGTCCAGTCATGAAAAATCATCTCTAGAACCTTACTAGAAACGACTGGACTCCAGTGATGGAGCATCTGGTCATTTGAGTAGCGTGTCTAGTTGCTGAGTGAAGGCTTGGGCACGCGCGTGAGCTAAAGTATGCACCGGCGCGTCCGGTCTTGGACTATGGCGCGTCTGATCGATAATTAACTGCTCGGGAACTCAACCATTGGAGATCAGCGGCATAGGTTTGAAGGCGGGGACACATGGCGTTGATCATGTGACCGAATGCTGGGCTGGCTGCGTCCGGTCGATTGGACCAGCACGTCCGGTCGCCCCGATTTTCAATGGACTATGGAGCCAATGGCTCTATTTCGTGGGGGCTTCTATTTAAGCCCCATGGCCGGCTCAAGCTCACTCTCTTGGCCATTTACATTGACATAGCAACCTTGTGAGCTTAGCCAAAGCCCTCCCACTCATCTCCATCATTGATTCATCATCTTTGTGAGATTGGGAGTGAATCCAAGTGCATTGCTTGAGTGTTTGCATCTAGAGGCACTTGGTGTTCGTGTTTTGATGTGGGATTCACTTGTTACTCTTGGTGGTTGCCACCACCTAGATGGCTTGGAGAAGTGAGGATCGTTGAGCGGAGGTTGGTGACTATCTCCGACTCTTATCATGGTGATTGTGAGGGGTTCTTGATGCCTCCCCGGTGGAGAGCGAAAAGGTACTCTAGTAAATTGCTCATGGCTTGTGTGATCCTCATCTTGTGTTGGTTGTGTGGCACGCTATTGAGGGTTTGACATGTGATGCCAATTAGCGCATGAACCTCCAAGTGAGTGAATCGCCACAACGGGGACTAGCTTGTTGGCAAGCAAGTGAACCTTAGAGGAAAAATCATTGTGTCTTGATTGGCTCCTTGGTATTCATTGGTATTCACTCATTAGTCACTTGCCACGGCGGTATACCTCTCTACCACTCTTGTGTATTTCATTATACATTCACTTGGATAGAGCTAGTTGTAGTTAAGACTAGATAGTGCATCATTTAATTGTATTATCTCACTAGGTTGATCACCTAGGTGTATATTAGTGACATAGCTTTGTTGTGATATACTAGAGATCATAGAAAATAGAATTGGGTAGGTGGCTTGCAACCCCAAGTATAGTGCTAGTGTAAAATTTGCTTTGCCATCTTATTGACTAATCATTTGTCTTAGTGTTGTTGTAGAACTTTTTAATAGTCTATTCACCCCCCCCCCTAGCCATTAGGACATTTCAAGAGGGTAGGGTGGAATTGTTTTCGCCATGCTAGCTCTATTGAAGATAAGGGCGACAACTATGGTGTTAGCATGTTCACCGGTTTGATGACATAGAGACTTTTATTTCTAGACGGCCATATCAAGGCAGAGATGGTGTCGCCGCCATGGAATAATTTTCTCTGGTCTCTTCTCTGTTTTATTGTAGTTAGATCTGGTCACAATGAAGGATTAGGGAGAATAAATTTCAGATCATTCTTCCTCATTCTTTGGTGGTAGAAAGAAGATGGAAGACACTAGAAAGAAGAAGTTTCTCAACTCTGCCTACATGAATGTTGGTCGTCGTTCATTAGGCATATGTTCTCACGCCTTTTGCCAAGTGTTTGCCTGTGCGGTCATCTATACCGCAAAGCATCGTACAGGTTTGGTTTTAAGATCTAGAGCTATTCAAAGCATGGGTACAATTCAGATGAAAATCAGTTTCTAGATATTTGTGTAATCTAGAGTGCGTGTAATGTGTTGATATACCTAGCTATTATCTAATATAGTTCTTCTTTCATCGCAAAAAGAAAGAAAGGACTTATTGTCACAATAATTTGATTATCTATGACATTTATATTTATACATTGCCTATGATGAGTATAAAAATCTCTCATAAAAATTAAGTTTTATGCCCTTCCAACATATAGCACCCAGTTTTAAGGACAAAACCAGATACACACCATATGTGAGCCTAGGAAGTCAAATCTCACATATAGCTACAAATAAGGTTAATATCGAAAGACAATGCTCAATATATAACATACTTAGTATAAAGGATATAACCTTAGATAGCAAATACTGGAAAGACAACTCCGAACTTTAGGTGAAGACTGCAACTCCACAGGGACAACTGACTGGTTGATCACAAGCCTAATTCCTCCAAACTCTTACAATCTAGTACCCATCCAGGATTTTTCCAAAGATTTAAAAAGTAGAGCAAGCGTAAGTACATGTCATACTCAACAAATATAACATGGGGTTCATGAGGCTCAAAAGGCTGACACTGGTTGAACTGTGATTAGCTTTTAATGAGTCATCTTTTAGCAATTGGGTGGCAACAAGTTTATTCATAAGCCCCTATAAACACATGATCAAGTAAACATGAATAATGAACAGCATAAACAATGAGCCATTAATGAGAATCTATATCATCAGTATCATCAGTGCTCATCATCTATTCCATAAGGGTCCAAGGCTACTTGTGACCATGAGCACGGCTGATATACTAGTTTTACACTCTGCAGAGGTTGTACACTTTCACTGAGAGTCGTGATTTACCCTTTCGCCCAAGGCGGCCAACCTCTTGACCCACTACCAACGAAGGTCTGTAGGGTTCACTATGAAGCCTTTCAAAGGTTCATTTAACAAGTTAGGGCCATTAGATTCACTCAGCAAATAGATATAGGAACCCCCTGTCAAATGGCACAATTCCATCACAGCTATACATATAAGAGTAGAGGTTGTTCTATACCCGATTCGGCAAGCCATTCTTACACCATAAAGGTGACCTCTAACAAGCTAGAAAAGTTCCTCATACTGAGCTAAAGCCAGAGCCATGTAGCCCTCATAGTTGTACTGTAAGTACCGGATGATCACTTACAGATAAGTCCTTAGGAAGAGGAATCTAGAGCACCATAAAAATAGCCCAATGCTCTAGCCCTCTGATTCCATGTTGCTAAAAAGCATCTTTTAGTGTTTATTACACAATCCATTAGTCAAGTTACAAGATCATTGTTTTAGTTTGAGCACTAGCATCATACTGCCCAATGCATAAACCCATAGGAATCAAGGTACAAGGTAACAAAGTACTAGGAAATCCTTAGTGGTAGTCAAGGTAGACACATGCAGCATGAATTAAATGATTAAAGGTGTATAGGACAACAAGAAAGATCCTATGCTATACTTGCCTTGAACAAAGTGTTCTGCTGATCCTGCTTGTCAAAGTAGTACTCTTGATCACCCATGAATTGCTCACCATCTATACTTGATAATCACAATAACATACAAGCATACAGGTAGCGGCTTCGGCGAGGCTTGATGGAGAGGCGGCGCGGTGTGGGCAGTCAGTATTTAAGGCTAGGGAAGGCGTGGGGCACATGCCAAGGCAGAGTCATGGTGACGGCGGAGTCAAGGGCGGTGGTAGTGTCCGACACGCAGACGAGCCAGAGGAAGAAGAAGGCGACATTGACACATGGGGCCCAGGTGGCAGCGTCACAGGGCACGGGGCCAGTCATTCAAAGGGAGAGAGGAGAAAGGGGGCATGGACGATGCGGCTTGCTGATTGGGCCAAACTGTTGGGCTGTGGGGAGAGCAGGGCCGAGCGAGCCAAAATTCCGAGAGAGGGAGAGAGATCCCTTTTTTCCTTTTCTTTTCTTTTATTTCAAAATCATTTTGAATCATTTTCAAAAACACATTGAAACATTTTGAATTTAGACCAAAACCACTCATTACAAAAATACAAATGCACCAGCATGAATGCACCACAATGTTGCTAAGCCTTATGATAAATTTTAATTTAATGAAAAATTATTATTTTCCTATGTTTTATGGGCATAAAAATACATAATTAAATCATTTCATCTCTATTTCAAAAAGAAGCAAATTTTAGGGTGTTACACAACAGCTACACCTTTTGGGTCTTATTACTAGGTGATGGGTCTACCAAAGTAGGACGTCATCTTCTACCTTGATCTATTGGGTGGTGTCAGACACCACAGCATAGTGTTGGTTTACTTGATGAAACCGTAAAGTCAGACTTGAGTTTCAGGGCATAGCGTTGGAAGCCGAGATATATGATATCAACCAACGAACGAGAGTTGCATTGGATGCGATTGGCAAGTGTTGCCTACTCAGTTCACTATGATGCTAGCGGTGATACCAAAGCTCACTAGTTCCATAGGGAACGTGGGGTCTCGTCCCACTATGCAATGTTGGGGGACGTTTGCAAAACATAGTGGGGTTTCTTTTATTAAAAGTGTTTTAATGAAAGTAGTGCTAACCATTGCATATCTCTGTTGTTGTAGAAAATGTTGAGCAACTCGAGTTTTAAATTACGATCGATCCTAGAGAAAGAAAAGCTAAATGGAACTAATTTTGTTGATTGAAACAAAAACCTGAGAATTGTTCACAGACAAGAAAAGAAATTACACTCTTGATACGTCTTACCCGGATGAGCCTCATAATGTCGCGCACAATTCTAATGCGTATCGTGCTTATGTGAAGCACACTAATGATGCAGTGCCTAAAGCTTGCATGTATGAACTCTGAGCTACAGAAGCATTATGAGAGCACCAACCCACATGATATGATCATGGTGATGCGTAGCATGTTCGAAAACCAATTAAGGGTTGAGAGGTTTAATACCTTGAAGGCCCTATTTGGTAGCAAGCTTGCTGAAAAGTGCTTCGGTCAGCCCTCATGTAATCAAGATGATTGGTTACATTGAGAGCTTGCAAAGATTATGTTTTCCCCTCGATGACGATCTCACCACCTGATCTGATACTGCAGTCTCTGCTAGATAGCTTTGAGCAATTTATTATGAACTATCACATGAATGGCTTGAAGAAGACACTGACTGAGTTGCATGGGATGTTGAAAACGGTAGAGGTGAGCCTTAGGAAGGCTCCTGGTCATGTGATGACAGTCCAGAAGGGTAAGAAGCAAAAGCGTCCAGCCAAGGCTAAGAAACCTGCTAAAAGTGAGACTTCTAGGTAGGCAACTAAGGCCAAAGAAAAGAATAAAAAGGCTGGCCCTCCTCTGATGATGTTTCTTTACACTGCGGTGTGAAAGGACATTGGTCAAGGAATTGCAAGAAGTACCTTGAAGAGAAGAAAAAGAATGGGGGTGCGACTCCACTCAAGGTATTAATATTATTGAAACTAATCCTACAACATGTTCTAATAATGCATGTGTATTTGATACTGGTGCAATGATTCACACTTGCAAATCATTGCAGGGACTGAAAATAATTTGGCATTTTGCAAGAGACAATGTGGATTTGTGTGTCGGGAATGGAGCAAAGGTTGCTACGTTGGCCATCGACACTTATTCATTGTCCCTACCTTCTATATTAGTGCTAGAACATAATAATTGTTATTTTGTTCCTACATTGAATAAGAACATTATTTCCGCCTGATGTTTAGAGGATGATGGTTTTGAATTTGTAATAAAGAACAAGTGTTGTTCTATTTTTATGAATGGCATGTACTATGGGAGATGTCCCATTGTGAACAGGCTTTATGTTCTTAATCTTGAGGAAACTGAAATCAATAATGTTAATGCTAATAGAGTTCACAAACATGATTCTAATCCTACTTACTTGTGGCGTTGTCGCTTAGGCCATATAGGCAAGAAGCGCATAGAGAGGCTCCATAAGGATGGTCTTCTCGATTCTTTTCATTATGAATCAATTGAGACATTTGAGTCATGCCTACTCGGAAAGATGACTAAAGCTCCTTTTGTTGGAGAAAGTGAGAGAGCAAGTGAGCTATTAGGCCTAGTACATATAGATGTTTGTGGGCTAATGAACTCAGCCGTGAGAGCTTGCTTTCACTACTTTATTAACTTTACCAATGACTTGAGTTGGTACGGCTATATCTATTTGATGAGAAACAAGGTAGAATCCTTTAAAAAGTTCAAAGAGTTCCAAAATGAAGTGCAGAATCATACTAGCAAGAAAATTAAATTCCTACGATTAGATCATCGTGGGGAATATTTGAGCCATGAGTTTAGTGACCATCTAAAGAATTGTGGAATTGTTCCACAACTTTGGGGGTATGCACTAGAGACAGCTACGTTTACACTAAACCATGTACCATCTAAATCTATCGAGAAGACACCATATGAGATATGGACTGGGAAATGTCCTAGTTTGTCATTCTTGAAGATTTGGGGCTGTGATGCCTATGTTAAGCACTTGACGCTAACAAAGCTTGAGCCCAGATCTTATAAGTGTATCTTTGTGGGATATCCTAGGAAAACCAAACATATTATTTCTACAATCGTCAAGAGAACAAAGTGTTTGTTGCTTTTAATGTGGTCTTTCTTGAGAAAGAGTTTTCTCAAAAGAAGTTAGTGGGAGCATAGTGCGACTCGAAGATGTTCGAGAAACACAAGAAAATGTTCTAATTTCCACTGACAAGGAGGTGCAGCAAGATGAGCCAGCGATCGTCGCTAACCAACATGCTGAACCCCAACCACGAAGATCAATACGGGCACATCACGCACCTAAAAAGTACACGTTAATGACTATGGGGTAGCGTGATATCTTGTTGTTGGACAACGAAGAGCCTAACACTTACACGGAGGCGCTAATGGGACCGAAGTTCGAGAGATGGCTTGAAGCCATGAGATCCGAAATGGAGTCCATGAGAGATAAATGGGTTTGGAACCTAGTTGATCCACCCGATGGCGTGAGGACCATTGAGTGTAAATAGATTTTCAAGAAAAAGACAGACGCTGATGGAAATATTCACATCTATAAAGCAAGACTGGTAGCAAAAGGTTTTCATCAAATTAAAGGTGTTGATTATGATGAAACATTTTCGCCTATCGCTATGCTAAAGTCTATCCGGATCCTTCTAGCAATTGCCACGTATTATGACTACGAGATTTGGCAAATGGATGCCAAAACGGCTTTCCTTAATGGAAACCTAAGTGAGGATGTGTGCATGACACAGCCTAAAGGTTTTGTCGACCAACAAAATGCTAGAAAAGTTTGTAGACTCATGAAGTCTATATATGGGCTAAATCCAGCATCCTAGAGCTAGAATCTTTGTTTTAATGAGGAAGTTAAATCATTTGGCTTCTCGAAAAATGAAGAAGAACCATGTGTTTACTAGAAAGTAAGTAGGGATAAAACTAGAGAGCATACTTGCAATGCATATATTATAAACTCAAACAATGCATCCAAAGAGAAAAAAAATTATGCAATCAAATCAAAATGTGCATGTGTGTGAAATATTTGGGGGATATATATGGTGGCTAACCTAATTCTACTATGCTCCTTGACACATATCTTTGTCTTGAAACTTGGAAATATTTTTGTTAGAGAACAGGGGCTATCTTTATTCTTTCCTTTTTTTTCTTTCTAGGCGGCCATCTAAGTACCCATTGTTTAAATATCTCAGACATCCTTGTGTCCATTTTTTCCCTTTTTTCTCTTTTTGTCATAAACTTTTGCACAGCCCACTGTCTCTTTTCTGCAACAAAAATTTTTGGGTGATCTAAATCGAAGGCATGTTTTTGCGCCTACTCCCAGTGTAGGAGTAGTGCATATTTGGGTTCAACAAAGCTTGACAAAACTCAACACATATACAAGCAGCATAAAGGTGTATGGTTTTCTTAATCAAAATATATATAGCATTGATAGGAATTTTAGCTTTGACATACAGGAACTCATCAAGATTGATTTGTCATTTTTCAAAACAAGATACTCCGAAACTTACACCTAGACTTAGATCAAGCATATGCTACCCACGAGTGTCAAGTTCAAAGTAAGTTCTTCTATCAAATCAAGTCCATCCAATACTCGGGAGAATTTTGGACTGAAAACTAGGCAATTGAAAGGAATTACAATAGAGCAACTATTCATCATGTCCATCAAAAGTTTATTGAAGAGAAAGTCTTAAACTCCCTTTTTATGAGTAACTAACATATCTTCTTATCTATATCTATTTTGTTTTATTGGTACTGAGCATATTAAAGAAAACTATCACACACAATTTTTATTTTATCTTATTGCCAGAAATGAAATGAAGTGAAAAGATGCTTACCTGGATAATTGGAGATGCATCTCCCCAAAGCCAGCTTATTATTGGGGATGTATCTCCCCCAAGCTGGATTTTGATTTCTTTTGCTTTATAAGTTTTATGGGTTTTTTTATTTTATTGCTACCAAAACAGACATTCATATGGGTTGTTACACGCCACAAGGGTGCTCATATGGGGCTTTAAGATTTACTTGATGCAAAACATAGAATAAGACTATACTAAGTCAAATCTATTATGCAGAGTTACAACATTTTATTTTCTTTTTATATTTGCTATGCATACAATTTTTCTAAATGCAATGCCGAAATAAACATGCTAAAGTTTAAAAGTTATATATCTAATTTATATGACTATGCAATAATGACTTTACTTATTATTTTGTAGATGCAATGCATGAATGAAAATGCTAAATAAAATTTTATGCAATAAATAAACATGGGTAACTACCGAGTTACCTTTCGGCGAGGGTTCGGTGTTTTAAGTCCTATGAACGAGACTCTTCCTTGCGAAGTTCATTGATTGAGTACCTCGGTTCACTCTTGAAGATGAGGATTCCTGTGGTGGCATCTCCAGTAGTGATGCTTCTGATGGTGGTGCCACCGCCATCTTCTTCCAAACCCATCTTGGTTTTGAATTTGATTTTAGTTTGACAAGTTTATCCTTTCTTGACTTGTTCTTCCTCCCTGTTCAACATTTTGAAGTCAAGCATTAGTAGCACGTAGAAGCTAGCGACATCTTATGTGCATCATTATTACCAGTTCAAAACTTTCACTTGTAGATTTTGGGGGATCGATTCCCCCACACTTTGCTCGAAGTGTGTTCTGCTCATAAAGACAAGGTAGAGATCAAGTGCATGGGCTCTGTTGGGGGGAAAACACCAATAGAACCAAAACTTTATTTATTCTTCTCTAGCCTTAGGCACATTGGATCATGATAAGTGTTGATGTTATGTGCATTGTTCATTCTTTCAACATGGGTGATAAGATGAGGATGATTGTGGCATTTGGATGTATTTGTCAAAAAGAGTGGAGTTGCTTAACCTATGGAAGGATTGTCCATCTTTTCATAATGTATCAAACTTTACACGATTATGACTATCATCTTCCAAACATAAGATATGTAACATTTTATCTTATTTGGTTAAGACTATGAGATCAATAAAGTGATGGTATGAACAAACTTAAGGAACAAGACATGTTCAGTTAATCAGGTTGGATCAAGCAAAGTTGTAACTCAAATATATTTGTTTCTTCATTTATGTGAATACCAAAATCAAAGGGAAGCTTTTTTAAATAATGACCACTTACCTTAAGATATTACCTTCATTATTGTAGCATGATGACACCATGTGACGAAGGGTATGTAGATGAGTTGTGGTGGTCTTTTCTTCCTGCTTGAAGCTTTCCTTGCTTGAGCTGTTCATGAGCATCTTGTCTCCTATATCGCGCTCCTTTCTCATTCTTTTATCATGCCATCCTTCTATACTTTCTTTTGTGGATCTTGATACTTTGTTTGGACCTTCTGCTCTACTCATACCTACAAAAGATTAGTGGACAACACATACCCAAAGAAATATACAAAACGATTCAAAGCAAGGATAGTGTTATCATAGAGCTAAAGGTCATCCTTTATGCCATAACAGAGTTGGTTTTAACATTTTTATTAGCATAGAATCTTTATCTCATGTTTTAAATAATGTGCCTTTATTGTTCACCACTACTTCAAATTTTCAACAAGGTTAAGGCAAAGATGTGTCAAATTGTTTTGAAGAATACCTCAAACCTTGATATTTGTTTCCACGAATGATCTCCTAACATTACCAACAAAATTTGAATTTTTTCCTTCAAGGGTTAGTCCATATATACAACTGCATTCTATACAAGTATGTTTTGATTATGTTCGAATAATATTCCGAAGCATACTTAATTATAGTAGAACAAGGATGTTTAAAAGACTAAAGAGATTCATTCAAGTAGAAACAAGAATATGTATAGTGAACCAAAGGAGTTGATTATTTAAATGTTTATTTTTTAGTGATTAAGCAAGTTGAGCACATCATAAAAGTAGAGATGACCAAGACAAATTAGCAACATGGCATGAGAAGTTTTTAAGAACTCCATCCCCCACATTTAAATTTTGCAGAATATAGAATCAAGTTTGGATGATAGAATTCTCCCGTGAATGTGATTTTATGTTGCATAATGCTTGGTTGGATAAACCTTGTGTTTTTCTTCTCTTTATTGAAATGATTCAAGACAAACATACCTGAAGGAGGCTTGTCTGATTTACTTGTTTGTGAGAGCACATAGTTCATTGAGCAGGAACTTTCCTTGCATTAAGCTTTTCTTTGCATCATCAGATCCTAGAGATGAGGATACGGACAATTGCATGCTCATCTCCTGTCAACCCTTCTTGATTTTTGTTTACTCTTGGTTGATGAGTTGGTGTTCTCTTGGAGATGTAAACTCAAGTTCTTCCTTGATTGTCCAACAGCATGGCAGAGAGTTGTTCTTCTTTGTTTGTTAGCGATACACTAGCCATCTTGATGGTTAAAGAGGGAACCTCATTGGTGTTTGCCTGAAAGCTTCATCTCCAATGACTTCAGGGTGTCATGTGTGACTATGACCGTTTTTGGTCCTTTATGAAACACCATCGGCAGTCCACCGATAGATGACGTCTATTGGCACTAGGGTGCATATCATGATGTAGTCGCATCTCGTTGTCTTAGTCATTGCTGTCGACATGTGTGTTGAAGGTGAAAATGTCACAAAATTACACACTCAAAACATCGTCAACAGCCCCGGTTAAAAGGAAGAGAGGCATGTCATGAAACATATTTTATCAATAACGAGTTCAACTTGTACCTTGAGGTATTTTTATGAAGGAGATGATAAATGGAGGCAAATAAGCTGGTGGTGCCTCCATATGCAGGTCACCCAACCAACCTATGGACCCACCAGGCCTTACCAAGGTGGCATGATCCATGTGAAGTATCCCAGAGTCATTCCCCACCCTTGGATCACACTTGTGTTTTCACTCAAGGGTGGAAGATGAAGTCACATGGATTCATGGGCCCATAATGAAGCATCCAACATGACCAAAGTATGATGTGTGGGGACACCTTCTAGAAGGAAGTGGTGGGGCCCAGCTGCCATAAGCAGGTCGGCTGACCTACCCATGGAGGCTCTAGCCCTCCACCTCCTTCCCCACACATTTATCACATGCCAAATGACCCTGGCCCTTAGATCTAAGGTAGTTCTATGGTGGTGGATCCAATGGTTCCATGATCAAAGTCACACGGATCGCTGACATGGCGCTCCTCTGCCTCCACCTATAAATAGAGGGTCAGTCCCCCCTCTCCATTCATCATGGTGAAGAACCCTACAAGCTCAAGTGAAGAGCAGGTAGTCCACTTTATCTTAGTAGTGTAGTCTAGAGTGAGAGTTAGAGTTGAGTAGTGAGCTTTGCTCGGGTCTTCTGGAGCTGTC